ATCTTACGTGACGTAAGGCGCGGCCCCTACCCCGCGCCATACACACATGTATCCATGTCAGCATAAGGCGCGCCTCAGGGGGCGCCTTACCCCACGTGACGCCAAATCAACATATAACGCGGTGTAGTGGGCGCGCCTTACTACAAAGGGTATTATATTAAAAAATATAATCTGATCGTGCCTAATCGAAAATATTAAATTAAAAAGATAATTTTTCAGAAAAAACGCCTTATAATCGTGGGTTATTCATGGATAAATATTCCATTTCCTATATTCATTACTGTTGACAAATCTTACAATCAGTCGGTGGTTGTGTTTCTTTGCTAAGTACGGTCATTTTTCACATGTTTTTTCTTCTTCAAATCATAACACATGCTTTTATTTATTATGAAAGAGAAATACGCATAGTGTGTGATTTGGAATCAGAACGAATTGGCCATCTTTTTTCCGTTATAATTTGAGACTCTCCTTAATTATTACAGCAATTTTAACTTGGAAAATTACTCCAATCTCGCGGCTGTATCAAACGTCTGAAATTTCGTCTATAAGTACAGTACAAAATTCTCATTTCAGTTTTACAAATTATCATTCAAAATAAATTCCTTTGAATTTTTTCCAAAAAAAAATAGAATAAGTTTGAATATATCAGAGACACATATAACCCAATACTAGCTAGCCGGCGACAATAGCGACGCACGTGTGTGAGAGAGTTGTTTCATTACATTACCTTATAAAAAGAAAATATAGCCCTTTAAATACCTTTCTAAAGATATTTTCCTTTCTAACGTAGGATATATGCTCTTATTTCTTTTGAACATTACCAACACCAAATTCTTTTTGCCCACGTATCAAATATACATAGATATTGTAAGCACAGGAATCCAATCCCCATCTCTAAATTCATAAACACTAAATAAAAATTTCATCAAAAAGGTTGCCAATAAAAATAGTCACGACCATATGATTTTCTTAACCATTATAATTGAATTTTAAAAAACATATATATATTAATATAGTTAATGATTAATGAAAAAATTATCATACGCACCCATTTTTTTCAAAAATATTAAATTAAATTTTGTATGAACCAACATATGTCATTTATACTTTATCCTATTAATATTATACTAAATAAAATATTAATTAAATCAAATAAAATTATTATTATTTCAACATATTTAATTTTATAAATTTAAATGCACTTAAACATGTATAGTTAAGAATTTCGAGATTATATTTAAATTTTTCATAAAAATATTATCAACAATCGATGAATAAATAAAAATATGAAACGCTAATTGAGTTAGTTTAGTTCATCAAAAATTATAATTGGTGCAGTATATAAGAGGAATTGAATATAATATATTTTCTGTTGAAAAAAGAATATAATATCTTTAAACGTTTAATATTTTTTATTTACAAGTAATGAAAAAAATGGAATAATATAATAATAGATCGTTCAAAAAATAAAGGCGTGCAATTACAATAGTTGATTGATTGATTGGTTACCGTGTGATTTCTGAGCGAGCTCTCATCTCAGCCAACAAAACCACCACGTCATTCAATTACAGTCCATCTAGGAAATTATGCGTATTCGCTGTGTGTCAGATTTGAAAAAAAAAAAAAAAGATGGTAAAAGCGTGGCAGAGAGAGTGGAGAACGCGCGAGTGAAGCCGCTCACACGTGGGACCAATAAAGAAACGTCCCAACTGCAGACACGAAACTCAGTGCAGAAATGGACGAGTTTCGAGTCACGACCAATAGGAAGCAAGAATCTTAAAATGATTTTTTAATTTAATTATTTTTAAGGACTATCCATTTCAGAAAAATAATTAGATTAATATATATATTCTGGCATTGTAACATGCAACATGTTACATCACCAGGGACAGATTAAAAAAGCTTTTATCTTTTACAACAACAACAACAAAATCCAATTTAGTTCATTTCAAGCTTTCATACCACTTTTTATTTGATTTTTATGTCCAGGACTTTCTTTAAGGGTTTTTTTCAGACATACCCTCTATTTGTCAAAATCTTCTTGTTACGTCCCAATCTCTTCTAAAAGTTTTTATTTGGACAGTTTGAAGTTATCTTTCGAAATATCAACCTTACTCTATTAACTCTCACCCTTGTGTGTCATCAAATCGACTTTGTTGTTTGAAAATAATAGTAACATCAAAAAAAAGTCAAATATTTTATGACAATGTCATTTTTCTCTTATAAACGTATTCTTTCTTTAAAAGATGTTAGAATGATAAATAACTTTTTTATATTAACAAATATTTGTAGATCATGGATGTACTTGGTAAAAACACAATACCCAACCTTAAATAAAGATGTAGCAATGACAAGGAAAACAATTTCATATGAACTAATGTAAGGGCTTCTTTGGCGAAGATGGTATTTATTCTTTCATGAACTAAGTTATTTCAATAGTTAGAAAGATGATTGTTATTTCTAGAAGTTTTACGTTCAAGTATCATAGACTACATAAATGTTAGAACTTTTATTGTTAAAACCTTTTAGTGTTATAAAAACTGAAGCGGGTACAACATGCAAGCTTTAGTTTGCATGTATCCAATGGTCAACGCAGAGGAAGACACCTGTCTTTCTTTTGTGTGTTTTTTTAATGTTGGACCTAATCATATATTACTTGGATTAATTAATTTAACCACCAGGTTGTTATCTTGATAATGAAATATTAACATAATGAAACCTTTTTAAATTGAAATAACGTTAAAACATTTACATCCTTCAAATTTTTTGAAAGGTTCCACCGAAAGGTTCCTTTTCTAGAAAAAATCCAAAAATGTCAATTAAAAATTGGTGTGCTTGTTAATCATACACCCTTTTAATAGCATGATTCATAATTAAATATGGATGTGCTTCTTGATTATATCAATAGTACCCTTTTAATAGCATGATTCATAATTAAATATGGACGTGCTTCTTGATTATATCAATATTACCCTTTTATTAGAATTTATTAGAATGATACAAGGATTTCGGTGATTTCTCCAATCTTGTGACATTTTAAATTTTTAATGAACATTGTATTAAATATTATCTCTATACGTATGATTGGAGTAAGCACATTAATTAATTTAATCAATATATTAAAATAGAGCCTATAAGGTGATTGTAAACAACTATTTGATTAGAGTAAGCACATTTGATCAATTAGTCAAGTTACTCATATTTATTTACTCGTATTCACTTAGATCATAAGTTATCAGTGAATAAATCTACAATTAAATAATTATTACTTAATTTAATCTTAATTAATTTTTTTATAAAATGAAAAAAAAACATTTATAACCTTTGATCTGGATGAGTATATATATCTCCTTGTATAAGTCTGTGAATTATAAGAATTACGGAGAGAAACTGAATTGGTAAATCATGTAAAGATGATGTGTTGGGAAATGAAGTATTCAAATCTCATTGCACTGTTGGCAACAGACAGTGATAAAAAGTAGGAACCAATTAGTCAACGTATCTTTGCTTACAATTACGTGTTTATTATTAAGACACTAATAAAAAATAGCAACCGCATTTAATTTCCAAAATGGTACCCTAGACTTGCAACCAATTATTCACATGGGATACGATTAGTTATAGCTCTTAAGTCAAGCCAAGACCAGTGTCCGGATTAAACTAATTAATAGCTCCATTGTTTAAAATATATACATATTCTCCAACTCCCTGTCTCGCATAACATGAAAAGAGTTATTTTTAGCAGGGAAGATATGCTCCATTATTGATTGGAATGATAATATTTCTAAATAAGGGAACCATAATATTGTTTTCAAAAACTCATTTTGATTTCATCAGTTGCAGTCACAAACAAAGCTAAATAGCTAATTGGATCTAACCATAACATAAAGCTATTGTATGTTGAAATTTTTTATTACTGGTTGCTAATTTATTGGGTTTATGTAGACCTTAATACAGCGCTTCGTTACCAGATAAACTAACCTTTGGAGGATAATGAAGCCAAATAACATTCCTTTCATCAATATATGTTGTTTCCATTTTAATATTATTCTGTCTCTTGGAGTAGCCAATGCGAGGTGAATTGCCATGAGCTTGACCTAATATTGAGGAAAACAAAAAGCAAGGGTCATGGATGTTTCTTTTTTTTCCATTTATGACAAGAATTTTAAAAAAGTTTGGTATCCCAACGTTGATGGCAACTTACCCATTGGAGGAATAATCCTTGAAAGCATGTGTTTTTATGCAGACGTAAATGCAAAAGTAGGGGGAATAAATGAGCAAACAAGTCCGTTTATAGAAAGGGATTTTACCTCCAACAGGCTACACCAGCAAGATGTAGAATATCCAGTAGGTAAGATTAGGGTGCTCATTTCCAAGGGAAAGGATTGTGGCTGTAAAGAAAGGTCCCTCCCTATATAGGAAATGTTACAACACAACACCATCTCTATCCCTGTGTATTTGTTTTGCCAACTGTTACTCATTTCTTCTATATGTACTGCCCAGTGACGCGTCAAACAGTTTTCAGTCGGTCGGAGACACCTGATGACAAAGTAGCTGATACTCAATTAAGTCTAGTCCAGTGTCAATAAGTAATGTTAATGGTGGAAATGTTATTTTTCCAACAAATTTAAAGTGGAGAGCAGTTAGTTATGGAGATAATTTTTAACAAAAATATCCAATAAATACGAGGCTAATGCTTTATGGACTTTGGATACCTTGGAGAATGCAGAGTTTAAACATTGACGATGAAGCAAAAATATTGAGATGGAAAGTTGTATTAGCTTAGCTAGCAAGGATTAATATATATGTAAGAGTTAGAAACCGTGCTTGTCATTTTGGCTTTTATGTACAAGTTCATTACCATTACCAAGAAAAATGTGGCTTATTTATTTATTTATTTATTTATTTTCTAGGGCTCAAGTCTTTGTTTTTAAAAGGCTGCAATCCATCAAAGTTTGTAATGAACAAGGGAGAGGTTTGGTAAGTGCCAAAGAGAAGAGATGGGGAGAGCTCCTTGCTGTGACAAAGCAAACGTGAAGAAAGGACCATGGTCTCCTGAAGAAGACTCAAAGCTCAAGGATTACATTGAGAAATATGGAACTGGTGGGAATTGGATTGCTCTCCCTCACAAAGCTGGTATATATCTACCACATGGATCAGAAATGAAAGATACAAGATCCCTCTTTACTTCTTTTCTTACCTAATTAATTAATTTCTTCTCGTCTCTGAAATATCAGGCCTTAAAAGATGTGGCAAGAGCTGCAGGTTGAGGTGGCTTAACTATCTCAGGCCCAACATTAAACATGGCGAGTTCACTGATGATGAAGATAGGATTATCTGCACCCTCTTCGCTACCATTGGAAGCAGGTTTTTCTCCTTTTCTTTTCTTTAATTTAATGACTTCTTCCGTTGGAATATTGATGAAATATAACAAGAAGAGAAATAAAAGAAAACCCTTAAACTTGAGAAACTTGTTTACATCAGGAATCTGATACTTTCTGATAATTCTCCAACATGCATATACCAAGTTTAATTTATTCAACATCATCGCCTACAGCTATTAAGAAAGTTATTCACGGATTTTACTTGTTATGGAACGTTTTCTTTTCCAACATTCGATGTTGCAGATGGTCAATAATTGCTGCTCAGTTACCAGGCAGGACTGACAATGATATCAAAAACCACTGGAACACCAAACTTAAGAAGAAGCTCATGGCCATGACTAATACTTCTCAAGCACAGAGAAAACCACCTCCATTTCCATATTCTCATCAAGCTCCACCAGCTTCATCACGGTACAAAGGTTGCACTTCTTATTACACTCCAATCTGCACATCTTTGACACCCTTCGAACCCATGTCATCGTCCCAACCGTCCCTTTTGAACAATGATCACACTACCTTGGCAACCAATTCCTCTCTTATTCAAACCCCAGAGAGTTTGGTGAATCATATGATACAGAATTATCCAATGAAAGAAAATTTTCTCATGTTTGGGAGTGAACCAAGCTGCACTTCCTCTGATGGTTGTAGCTATGGCAGAGAGATGAAGCAAGAATATATGAGCTTTCAGGGTTTGGGAGCCTATAATGGGGGGTGTGAAGATAATCAAAGATTCATGTTAAACTATGGCACCAGCAATGGAGGTGAAAATGTTAACCAATGGATTGAGAAACCAAGTGGATACTATGGAGAATGCCCATTAGATTATAATCTCGAAGATGTTAAGCGGCTGATTAGCTCTAGTGGTAACAATTGGTGTGACAACAACAGCTTCAGCTTCGTTGATGAAAACAACACACAAGATAAAGTCATGTACTACTACTGATGGAACTGAGTGCAGAAAGATTTGATGGGGTAAGGGCCAAAGCTGAGGGATTGCTATGTGAGAGACAGACAGATAAAAAGACTTTCAGTTTCTGGGTTACTGTGTTCTGAATCAGATGAAATGAAACATATATATATTATTTCTGTGTTTGACAGTATCTGCCCCTGTAAAGCCTTTTTTTTTTCTTCGTTTCTTTTCTGGAAATGGTCATGTTATTGTTTGTACGGACCCTCACTCACATTCAGAAATCAATGTTTTTATGAAAACAAGACATGTAATCATCATTTACGAACAACGGCTAAATTAAATAACTGACACTATTTTTTTTTTTTAATTTTTCCTTTCTAACATCGTTTGACTAATATTTCCAGAAGTAGCATCCTTTCTGTTGAGTTGGCAAAGGCGCGTCTCCGGGGACGCGCTTTACCCGTGTTTTCGCTGAATTGGATGCCACGTGTGGAAAGCGCATCCCCGGGGACGCGCCTTCCATTAAATGTCATAAATGCCCCCATCCGTTTTTCCTAACTACCCCTCCTCCTCCACTATATAAACCCCCTCAACCCTCCCTCATTCTTCACACCAAAATCATATTCTCCTCTCTTATATAACTCAAATTCTCCAACTATTTGAGTTTTAAATTTGTTATTAGTGGTAAGAAATTTATTTTTATGTTAGTATTTTTTTAAATAGTTATTATTTTTTATATTAATATATTTATGTAAATATTATTTTTTATTAAAATAATATTTATATAAATATTATTTATTTAGAATTATTAATTTTTTTTGCTAATTATATTGTTTTGTCTACAGTTATAATGGAAAACGAAATGCTGTTGCGATTGGATATTGATCATATCTCCAGACATTTTAGCGATATGGTAATATTTTTTTATAATTAATGTTAATATTTAAATTTATTTTTATTTTAAAGTTATTATGAATTTATATTAATTTTTATTTTTTATAATGTATATTATTTAGGATGCTGATCGTATTTTAGAGACTTTTATTAAAAATCCACGTATACCGACACCGGAACGTATTTTGCCATATTTGGCTTCTGCCGGGTTCGGGTATATTGCAACAATTATAGGCGGTTGCAAACTCGAACCTGTCCTAATTTCTACACTGATTGAGAGGTGGAGGCCTGAGACACACACTTTACACCTTCCATGTGGAGAGGCGACAATTACATTGGAGGATGTCTCTATGCATCTGGGGCTTCCCGTCGACGGAAATATGATGTGTGATATGGCGGATGGTGATTGGCAATCAATGTGCATTGATTATCTTGGAGCTGCTCCGCCAGAGTTTAATGGAGGTAGAATAGCTTTATCTTGGTTGAAAGCTAATTTTGAGGTTTTAAAAGAAAATGCTTCAGAGGATCAAGCAAAGGCATGTGCTCGGGCATATATTCTACGAATAATTGGAGGAATATTGATGCCCGACAAATCTCGCAACCAGGTGCATTGTATGTGGTTGCGGCATCTGATCGATTTTGATGAAGCTGGAAGATATAGTTGGGGTGTTGCAGTTTTGGCATTTCTCTTTAGAGAAATGTGTCGGGCGACAAATTATAAGAAAACTGCTATCGGTGGATGTCTTCTGCTTCTACAATCATGGGCGTGGTTCCGCATGCCTTTCTTATGCCCGATCGTGAATGAACCATACGTATTCCCCTTATTGTTGAGGTAATTTTTCAACTAAATTTTGATTTAAATATTTTCAATTAAATAGGGTGATATTTAGTTTATATTATATTTCATAGGTGGTCGATGAAAAGAAATGACCATAAAAGTATACCTACTGGGTTAGAGGAAATTCGTTTACTTATTGATACGAAAGCTGGGTCTGAGGTATGTTTTTAAATTTGTTTAATTATTAATATTTTAATTTAAAATGTTAGATATAATTAGAATATTTTATTTATTTGAATTGTATATTTATATTTCAGTTTCAGTGGATACCTTAAGCGAGCGATGAAGTGAAAGCTTGCATCCCACCCCACCTTAGTGGGTCATTAGAGGTATGGATATCGGTTATACCTCTTATATGTTATGCTATTATTGAGTGGCATCCAGTTGATCGCGTGCTCCGTCAGTATGGTTTTACGCAATATATTCCTGGAGCTCCTAGGAATTTAGACGACGTGCATAACATAGATAGACGAGGAAAGAAAAATGTTAACTGGGTGGTGAGACACAGAGATTGGATTGCGCTTTGGGAGAACCGATATACACTGTTGGCCCCTCGACAATATTACGTTGAAACTTGTCATATGGTTACGGATAACTATATGGACTGGTTTAATGAAAATGGGAAGCCGTTTCTACTTTCGGCGGAAGCACGAGGGGTTAACATTCCTAGGCGCCGAGAAAGATGTCAACCGTCTCAATATCATCGTCCCCCGATGCGTGGACGGAGAGAAGGCACTACCGGTTCTGCATCAGTCCCACCACAACATCCTTATTCGTCGATGCCGCAGGGGTACATGCCCAACACTTCACTTTATATGCCAAGCCCACCAGTTTATATGCCATCTCCGCAGGGTTACATTCCGAGCCCGCAGGGTTACATACCTAGCCCGCCAGGTTACATGCCTAGCCCGCCAGGTTACATGCCTAGCCCGCAGGGTTTTATACCATATGGAGGTGCATATACGACTATGTTTAATAATCCAGCATATGGTTCATATGCATCTTATTTGGCTGGTGGTGTTTCTCCGCAGACACCTCAATCTCCATCTGGATCACATACATCGATGCCAATGTTTCCACAGTTTTCATAGTTCCCGGGGAGCGGTGGGATTGTTACTAGCACTCCTCCAGGGTCGTTATTTTATACAGGCCCTTCAACCCCTTCAGCGTCATCTACACCAAATGAAGAAAATGCTGCTGATGATGATAGTGAAGATGAGGAGACTGAAGAACAAGTTCCACGAAGAAATCCTCCACGAAATAGACAACCACCGCCATGTGGAACTCATTCGAGAAGACGACATCGGTGATCCAGTTATATTTAATGTTATTTAAATAATTATATTTCAGAATTTTATGTAATTTGGTTATGTTATTTAAATGTTTCATGGTTGTTACATACATATTTTTTAATGTTATTTTTTATTCACATTTAACATTAAATGTTTGATAAATGTTTTTAAAATACAAATTATATTATTCGAAATTTAAAATAAAAATAAAAATAATATTATTCAAATTTAAATTTAAAATATAAATTATAGTATTCAAAATTTAACATTAAATTTCAACTTAATATTCCAATTGTATTCGAAATTAAAAGTTATATTCCAATTATAGTACACAATACTTAAATTGAAATTAAATTTATCCATACATATGATTTTATCATTAACATATATATTAAAACGTATACATTAAAATCAACTTATGTTGAGTTCATCGATCGACGGAATCAGCCAAGAGGGGGTGAATTGGCAATTTATTCAATGTCACATTTCAATGCTCATTCCATACAATTTCAATGTCACAATCAACTTATCACTTCACATTTATTCAATTTATCCATAACATTTTATCTAATTTATTCAAACTTCACATAACGTTTTAATTTAAGTTATTCTTAACTTGCTGAACTTTCAAAAGAAGTTAAATTTTGGTTATAATTTACCTGATTTACTGATATATCTAGTGTCCCCGAGGGACATGAGTGACATAATAGGGCAATGATAATATATTCTCTGATGAAATAATGGAAGGCGCGCCCCCGGGAACGCGCCTTCATGTGAATAGTGAAATAATAGGTACTGATATATCTAGTGTCCCCGAGGGACATGAGTGACATAATAGGGCAATGATAACATATTCTCTGACGAAATAATGGAAGGCGCGCCCCCGGGAACGCGCCTTCATGTGAATAGTGAAATAATAGGTACTGATATATCTAGTGTCCCCGAGGGACATGAGTGACATAATAGGGCAATGATAACATATTCTCTGACGAAATAATAGAAGGCGCGCCCCCGGGAACGCGCCTTCATGTGAATAGTGAAATAATAGGTACTGATATATCTAGTGTCCCCGAGGGACATGAGTGACATAATAGGGCAATGATAACATATTCTCTGACGAAATAATGGAAGGCGCGCAACCGGGAATGCGCCTTCATGTGAATAGTGAAATAATAGGTACTGATATATCTAGTGTCCCCGAGGGACATGAGTGACATAATAGGGCAATGATAACATATTCTCTGATGAAATAATAGAAGGCGCGCCCCGGGAACGCGCCTTCATGTGAATAGTACTCCGATTATAGACACTATTATATGCAACGTATTATAAACTTTCAAAACAAACTTATGTTCACAATCTTTCAAATTCTCAAATTCCCAAACTCTAAATTCTCAAATTGTCTGAAAATGAGTCGTCTTTCTGCTGTTGTTTTGTATGATGGAGAAATTAAGGAAGCTGAAGAGGGGGTTGTTTTTGAGTCAGATCATTATATCCCCTTAACCTTGAAGAGAAACATCACAATTGAGGAGTTAATCACAAAAATTTCGTTAAAGATTCGTGTAGCAGGCCAGAGAAGACTATCTTCACTTCAGTACAGATTTCCTACTGAACTTTTTCCGCTCACGTATACATCATTTCAGCTTTCAAACGATGATGATGTTTCTATGATGGTTGATGCTCATATGGGGAGTTCACAATCTCTTATTGAAATGTATGCCACTTTTATTGAGGTTCGTGCAACTCGTGGTCTCTCATATTCCTCTCACTTTGGCATTGCATATCAAACTGATCAAGTTGATAGCCCGACACAACTGATCTGTAATGATTTCACATCATTAATGGCGGATCCAACGCCATATACCATGCCATCAAGTTCAATAGGAAGGCATTCATCTGCAACTGCTTATGATCTCAACCCACGTGGCTTCACCAAAAATCCATATGGCAACATCTCTTCTACTTCAAGGGGCAGACATTCATCTGCCAATGTTTTCGACTTACATATG